GCCTTCTCAGTAGCATTCTCTCTTGCTGGGAACTGAGTATACTCATTTGCTGGCCTCATGCAACTGGCAACAAGAGTAGTGATTCCATTTTTGTTCATATTTCTTTCTTTTTATTTTTTAAACTGATGTAACAGTGTAATATTGCCAATTATACTTTTCAAGTATACATCATTCAAACACCACACTTATCACCAGAGAGTCTGCTTCCCTCCACTGGTGTGCCAAGGACGTCTCTCATCCCCCCACTCCCCTCACGTAAAGTCAGTTTTATAGACAAAACCTTTCGAAGACAGGAGAAATTGAGCCAGTGGGTGGGGGCTGACACATTTCTTTCTTTTTTCTTTTTCTTCTTGTTTTTTGGGCCACACCCAGTGATGCAGGGTTACTCCTGGGTCATGTTCAGGGGTGCTCCTGGCAGTGCTCGGGGAACATATGGGATACTGGAAACTGAACCCAGGTCTGCCGCGTGCAAGGCAGACGCCTTACTCACTGTGCTATCGCTGCAGCCCCTGACACATTTCTTAACCACTCACTTCTGGGGGGAGTGGGGAGAGGTTTGCACCCGACTGTGGTCAGGGCCTGTGTTCCGGGGGACAAAACCCAGGTTGGCTGCATGGAAGCAAGCAAGTGTCCCACCTCTTTGGTCCTATTATCCAGTATAGAGTGACTAGAAAATGTGTCTGGGGCAGAAGGGAAATGTGTCTGGGTTGGAAGGGAGAAAGAAACCGTAAAAAGGTATATAACATGCAAATACAGTACGGTGAAACTGAACAACTGAAACTACTGAATGAAACCAAACAACTAGTTCAAGCTGATTATCTAGTTCTCAATGATCTGTCTGCACATTCCAGCAGATGAATGGGGACTCATTACACACTGCTAAGTTTTCACTTACCACATGCCATACCCAAGACATTTTGCAAGATGCAGGCCACTGCAATGCAACTAAGTAACAGTAAGCTCACAACTGATCAACTCTGGTATGTATGTCCCATCTGCAGTTCAATAGCTTGATTACAGACCTTTATGGTCAGATAACTTTTCAAATCATTCTTATCAATTAAGCTGCAGTTCTCCAGGGAACTACCCAGTGTGGCTTATGGGAAGGAAGGAAAACAAGACAAAATTGTAAATTATATGTTTACTCTTTGAGAGAATAAAGATGACTTATCAATCAGGCATGGTCTAATTAAATTATGTAAAATAACTGAAATTTCTTAAAAGGCTAGAATCAAGTAAAATACAATAAATAAGAAAATGATTTTGTTTTGAAACAAATGTGTTTTGTTTCCCAAATCCTAGATTACTAAAATCAAGAAATTTAATTCTGACCTTTGGAAAGGTGACTTAAAGAACAAGGAAAGATAATCATATCACAGTGGAAGGAATGCTGAGCTAGGGGAAATTATCTCCATCTTGATGCTAGCTTCTTCCCTAGGTGAATATGCAGCCTCTGGAAAGCTACCTGTAATTGGAGAGTCTAACTCTAGCTCTTCTGTTTATGGTTCCCCTCGCCTCCCACAGTCTGGATGCTAAGGATGGAACCCAGGGCCTCCCATGTGTGAGGCACCTACTTCACCAATGGGCTACACTCCTGGCCTACAGTCTACGATTTCTGTGAAAATCATTTCTAGAAACTGAGAGAATGGGAAAGGAGAAGTGAGAAAAGGCAGGGAAAGACTAAGGGCACCACTTTCTGATTCACTTTTCACTATACTCTGAAGAGTGCCTTGATACATTTTTCATGACGTGGAGTGTCTTCTATTACCTCTACAGAAGAACAGCACAGGAAGCCATGAATTAAATTGATGATCTGGAAGTCAACACTCTTGCTAGTTAGGTTTTGAAGAGAAACAAAAGAGCAGGCCGGCCTCCAGGATTAAACCTTTCTAAGATCAAACATGAGATCGACAAGGTGCCAGTCTTAGTGGCCAACATCATTAGTAGCCAAGAAACATCATACCAGAAAGCGTTTAACTAGGTATCCCCATCCACCTCTACTCCCATGACACTGTACTGCCATAGAAACAAATAGAATTCCCACGGGTAAAGAAGCCTTTACAGTGGCTCTGCCAAGATATATATATATATATATATATATATACATATACATGTATATATATATGCCTTTAGCTATCTGATAGAACTCACTGGAAATCAAAATCTAAATTAATATAAAATGGCTGTTTTTAAGCGAAGTTCTTTCTTCTTACCACTACAGTGGGAAAAATTTCCATACTGGCGCACACACGCACAGAATCTTTTCTAGAACAATGAACTTTGTTCTTTGTCCTAAATTACGTATTTTCCTTTAGTCATAACATTTTTTCTCTTTTTTCAGTCCTCACATACAGATGCTAAAATGAACAGAAGCCTGAGAGAGAATACAGAGAGTTAGGCACTTGACTTGCACATGGCCGACCTGATTCCATTACTGGCACCCCATATGGTCCCCCGAGTCTGCCAGGAATGATTCATGAGCACAGACCCAGGAGAAAGACCTGAGCAGTGTCGGCTGTGGTCCAAAAGCAATAATAAAAAAGTGTTACCGGAACAACATCTGAATCCAGATTACCACTAAAACAAGTGGTTTATGCTCCATCCAGGAAGAGTGTATCCAATGACGACTCTAAAAACTGGGGAAAGGGGGGGAGAGGGGCCGATGGGATAGAGCTCACAGGCAGATCACTTGCCTTGTGTGTGAGGTGCTAGGTTTGATTCTTGGCACTGCAGAAACAAAAAAATGGCAGCACTGACACTGAAGATGTGGTGCAGGTGTCGAGTACCCCTTTACGAGGTCCATGGTTCAGCTCATCTTGGAAAACAAACTGACAACCCAGAAAAGACATTTGGATCTTTGGGTTTCTTTTGCTTACGTTAAAGTTATCTTTATTTTTCAAGAGTATCTGGCAGACACTTTCACGACAATACACAAACACTATGAATAAAATATCCACCTACATGAAAGTTTTCATGGGGGAGAGAGGCAGTATTAGTAGTTAAGGGCACCTGCCTTGCACCTGGAGACCTGGGTTCGACCTCCACTTTCCCATATGGTTCCCTGAGCCCACCAGGAGTGATCCCTGGGCACAAAGCTGGGATTAAGCCCTGAGCATTGAGGGGTGGACTCAAGAAACAAAACTATAAAAAAAATTTTAAAAAGTGTCAGAATTAGTGATGCAAATCAAAAGAATAATCTAAAACAGTAAATACTAAATTTGCAAAGTTACAGTCTACTTTTTTCAACCACACCCTCAATACTTGGGGAAGTGGGGGGGGGGTGAGGGAAAGGGAGGCTGTCATTCCCTGCGGAGCTAACCTTCAAAGCCTGTGCTCCAATCCTCTGACCTGCCTCCCTAGCTCAGACAGGCTATTCTGTCTGCAACTCATCCACATTCTAGAAAGAGCATTCCTACTCTAGGTGAAGGACAAATGAATAAAGGATGTCAAAGCCTCGCCTGGAGGGGTGTGTATGTGTGTATGTGTGTGTGTGTATCAGTGGCAGAGCACATACTTCCCCTGTACAGGAAGCCCTGGGAGCCCTGGGTTTGGTCCCAGGCATCACAACCACCCCTGCCCCCACCCAGGCAACAAGGATATCAAACCCTCACCTGGAGAGAGAGGGTGTGGTGTGTGTGTGTGTGTGTGTGTGTATCGGTGGCAGAGCACATACTTCCCGTGTGTGTGTGTGTGTGTGTGTGTGTGTGTGTGTATCAGTGGCAGAGCACATACTTCCCCTGTACAGGAAGCCCTGGGTTTGGTCCCAGGCATCAAGGATGTCAAAGTCTCACCTGGAGGGGGGTGTGTGTGTGTGTGTGTGAGAAAGCCTCACCTGGAGGTGTGTGTGTGTGTGTGTGTGTGTGTGTGTGTGTGTGTCAGTGGCAGAGCACATACTTCCCCTGTACAGGAAGCCCTGGGTTTGGTCCCAGGCATCACAACCACCCCTGCCCCCACCCGCCCCTGTCAAAGTTCAGCGTCACCTTCATTACCTGAGACTATAGAATGGCCTTACTGGAATCCGAGCAGCCTTTATCAAAATCACCCACAGGGCGGGAAAAGAGAGTTTAAAAGGCCAAGGCACATGCTTGCACGGGGGAGGCCCAGGTTCGGGCCATAAAAGAACCGCCACTGGGGACTTGCCCCTGACCAGCCCCCCTCCCCGACAAGTCCTAGTAAATCCACATTATAAGCTCAAGTCCTCTATGGCAGATTCGAGCCGCTTACTCCAAGAAAACTCCAACAGCTCTTGCAGAGACCACATTTTGGGCCAAGTCCGCTGTGTTTCTGCTCAACTCGCTCAGGTGACTCAAGCCAGCTGTCCTCTAAGCAGTCCCTGGGTCTCCATCCCTGCAGGACGACCCTTTCCTGCATCTCCGGCATTCGAGGCCGGTGGGACAACGAGCCGACACCGTCCCGTGGAAAATCTCGGACGCTGCCACACCCTGCTCCGACCAGATTTCTTCTCTCCGACGGCTCGGGCGGAATTTCGTTACGATTTGCATCACGGCACGCGCCGGCCAACCAGCAGGACGCGGCATCCTAACTCTGGGGCCGACAGAAAGGCGCGTTTGCACCGATCTTGGCTTCCCGGGGCTCGGATCGCCGGGCCCGGCGTCGATCTTGCAACTTCCGATCGGCTCCGGTCCGGCGGCCCTGCCCGCTTCCTCGCTGCAGGCCGGGCCGCGGCCGCACCTCGCGCTCCACCGGTTTCCTGGTCGGCGGAAGCCCCGGGGCGTGCGGGGCGCCCTCCCGCAGCCCCCCGCTTGAATTCCGGGCGCGGCGCCGGCGCGGGCTCTCCCGCGTCCAGGGGCCCAGCCTCGGCGCCCGGCTCCTCCCGGCCCCCGAGCATCCCGCGCGGCGGCCCCGCTCCCCCCGGGCCCCGCTTCCGGGCTTCCCGGCACCGCGGCTTCCGGCCGCCGGGTCCTTCCCGCCCCCCGCCCCCCGCCCCCGCCGGCCCGGGCCCGGCCCTCCGCCCCGCGCGGCCGCCCGCGGGCTCTCACCGCTCGAAGAGGAGCCGCACGGAGAACACGCCCGCCGCCAGTGGGAACACGGCCAGGATGTGGCGGGCCCGCGGGTAGCCGTCGCCGTCGCCCGGCCCCTCCAGGTCGGCCCAGCTCACGTTCCGGGGCAGCCAGAAGCGCTCGCTCCACAGCCAGCCCCACAGCAGGCCCAGGGACCCCGCCAGCCCCGTCGCCATCTTCCGCCCGCCCCGCGGCCACCGCCGCCACGGCCGGAGCTGCTGCCACAGCCAACGGAACCCGCGGAGAGGCGGCCCCGGGGCGGGGCCGGGCCGGCGGCCACACCCTTCCGGCCCCGTCGGGTCCCCGCAGGTTTCAGCCCGCCCCTCGGCGGGGCCGGGGCTCCTCGACGCCCATCTTGGCGGAGCCACGCCCCCTTCCGCGGGGGCCACGCCCCGCGCCGCCGTTTCCCGCCCCCTCATCCGCAGCCTGGCCCCCTGAGCCACGCCCCCTTCCGCGTTGGCCACGCCCCGCGCCGCCGTTTCCCGCCCCCTCATCCGCAGCCTGGCCCCCCTGAGCCACGCCTCCTTCCGCGTTGGCCACGCCCCGCGCCGCCGTTTCCCGCCCCCTCATCCGCTGCCTGGCCCCCCGAGCCACGCCTCCTTCCGCGTTGGCCACGCCCCCGCGCCGCCGTTTCCCGCCCCCTCATCCGCAGCTCGGCCCCCCTGAGCCACGCCCCCTTCCGCGTTGGCCACGCCCCCGCACCGCCGTTTTCCGCCCCCTCATCCGCAGCCTGGCCCCCTGAGCCACGCCCCCTTCCGCGTTGGCCACGCCCCCGCGCCGCCGTTTTCCGTCCCCTCATCCGCAGCCTGGCCCCCTGAGCCCCGCCCCCTCCCGCCCCGCCCCCTCCCGCCCCGCCCCGCCCCCGCCGGCCCAGGCCACACCCCCACACTCTGTCCCCGCCCCTTTTTCCGCTCTGGGTTTCCGCTCCGAACCTCCGACGCTCGCCTCTCGGCTAAGACCACACCCCTCGTTTCAGTCGGGCTCGTACCGGGACTTTCCAGTCCATTCAAATTTGTTCCCCATTCCCAGCCAGGCCTCACCTAGCTCCCTGTCCCCAGCTCCCCTCTTAACTCAGGGCTGTCTGTCTGGCCTTCTCAGGTGGTACCCGAAGCAATCTTTTTGCTCTTATTTTCTTTTTCCTTTCCTTAAAATGGGCCTTTTCAAATGAATATCACATGAATTTCAATGAATCTCAAGTCAACCTATCCAAAGGAAAATATCAAGGAAAAAGAAATTAATGATAGCCAAGTGTTTAATGAGGTTTCCTACCAGGCACCTCACTGAACGTTTTACACAGGTTATTTAATTGCATCAGCCTATAAAGTCAGCATTGTTTTACTTATAATTTTATGGATGAATAAACTGAGGTCGGGACAGGTGAAGCAACTTGCCCAAGATTATATGGAAGTGGTTAGAGCCTCTGGGCTAGAAAGAGTCTTTAGACTCCAGAACACTGAGCGTTTATCCTATAAATCTCCTTAATTACTTTTCTTTGTGGTTTGGGGGAATGGAAACTGGGAGGCAAGTGCTCTACCACTGAGCGACTCACCTTGATTTTGAGTTTCTGTTGTTTTATTTTTTTCCCCAAAATTTTATTAGTGAAACACCGTAAGGTACAGTTGTAGACTTACAAATTTTTGTGCTTGAGTTTCCGTTATGCAATGATCCAGTACCCATCCCTGCACCAGTGCCCGTTCTCCAGCACCACTGATCCCAGTATCCCTCCCACCCCCCCACACCCCATCCCACCCGGCCTCTGTGGCAGGGCACAAAATAAAATTTTAGTTTGGATTTTTTTGCTTTTATAATACATTAAATTTTATGTTATATCTGCATCTCATTATGGTAATAATCATGTCTTATCTTCCATTAATAACATTTAAAAATAATTCTCTGTTAATATATTTTGGAGTTTACATGGAATAGGTAAGGCCTCATATGTAAATTTTCCTCTTAGACTTTATATAAACACTGTGGCTTACAAAGTTGTTTATGATGATTTGCTACAAGCATTCAGTATTCCAACGCCAATACCACCACCATTACACCTTCCCTCCACCATTGTTTCCAATTTTCTCAATCACCCCTTAGGCCTGCCCCCATAGCAGGCCCTCACTAATTTATTTTACATTACTTGTTATCAATAATTTGCTAACAGAATGATCAAAAAATGTTTTCTTGGAAGAAAGTTAGTGAAAATTATTGTAGCTCAGCATGGAGCCATGAAGTCCTTGTATAAGAGATTACTAAGATATTGTTACAGGTTAAGCCTTCTGTGTTTATATTTTGCTAATCATGATTGGTTGCCTTCATGTTACAGTTCATCCATTCTGGTGTGCTACTACTGATTTTGAGTTTCTATACTGTACTTTGAATGCTTGTGGATGTACATAAACAGGGATGCAAGCCATAGAGTAGGTATTCTCAAAATGCTACACTAGGGCCAGAGGTGCAAACAGATCAAGCACTTGCCTTGCAGGCGTCCTACCAGGGTTTAATCCTCAGCACCACATATGGGCCCCTGAGCCTTACCAGGAGTTTCTCTGAGCACAAAGCCAAAAGTAAGCCCTGAGCACTGCTTCCCAACACCCTCCCTCCCCCAAAGGCTAAACTAGTGCCAGAGAGAGAGAGAGAGAGAGAGAGAGAGAGAGAGAGCGCTCAGTGGGATGAGCAAATGCTTTGCATGAGGGAGGCCTGGGATTGATACCTGGCACCTCTTAGGTCCCAAACTACCACCGAGCAACACCTGGAATGTCCCTCCAAGCGCTGAGCTTAGAGTACTCCAGTACTACCAGGTGTGGCCCCCCCAAAGAAGAAGAACAACAACCAAAAAAAAAAAAAACCACACACACACAAACCAAACTGCACTAAAATGCTTTTCAACTGCCATAGAATTCTGAACTGTAGGTGTTACTTGTTACAATCTAACTATAAGGTTATCAGAAGCTATCTCAAATAGTCTGGAAAAAAAGATGAAAAAAACTTAAATCTCTACCTCTTGTTCAAGGACACTAAAGTAACCTTCTAACTAGCAATACGTGGCTACAGCAGAAGTGTTTCAAAGAAGAAGGAGGAAAAAAACATTCTTAGTAGATTCAAGCTTTCTCTCAGTGGTCCTCAAAATTTAGCATCCCTAACATTAGCATGTCTACTCTCCCACGTGAAGTTTATTAATTTATGTATTGAGGGGGCACATCTGACAGTGATGGGGACTCTGTTTTCAGAGCTTACTCCTGGGAGCTGCCTGGGAGCATCTCCCTACTTCGGGGTGCTGCTCTGTGTCAGAGATCCAACTTGAAGTTTCTGCATCCAAAGCACTTGCTCCAGCGGGTAGGGTGCTTGCCTTGCATGTGGATGACCTGAGTTCGATTCTCGGCATCCCATATGGTTCCCCCAACCCCCCTGAGTGCTGAGCCAGGAGTGTCAACCCTAAGCACCACAGAGAGTGGGTCAAAAACAAGCAAACAAACAAATAAAAGCACATGCTCCAGTCCTTTAAGCCAGTGCCCCTGGGATTTTTAAGTTTTCTGGGCCTAGTCCAAAGAGATTATGATTCATAGACTCAGGATATGGTCCCTTTCTTTCTCTCTCTCTTTCTCTCTTTCTTTCTTTCTTTCTTTCTTTCTTTCTCTCTCTCTCTTTCTTTCTTTCTCTTCTTCCTTCTTTCTCCTTCCTTCCTTCCTTCCTTCCTTCCTTCCTTCCTTCCTTTCCTAAAACTTGCTAATTTTTAAAAATTTTGTCATTGTTAAATTACAAAGTTATTCATGATTGGGTTCAGGCATACAATGTTTCAACACTCATCCCTCCACCAATCCCCCTGCCCCACCGTCATTTGCTTTTGCTTTCCACCCATCAAGTCTGCTTTTATGAGGCATAGAGTTGCTGATAGGGTTTCGCACATAACACTTTATCGCCTTTTAGCACTGCCTGCTCCTCCCAGTTAAATACTTCCCTGCTGTACCCTGGACATTGTCCCTCCTGTCCTATTCCCCAGCTCCCTCAAGTGGCATATTTCCTACTGAATACCCGCTTCTCATGTTCTCTTTTTCTTTGGGTATTCATTATTTCTTCATTATGTTTCTTTACATCCAACATAAGAGAGAAATTATTCTCTGTTGGTCTCTCTCCCTCTGAGTAGCTTCACTCAGCATGATACTCTCCAGATCCCTTCATGTAGTGCAATTTTCATGACTATCTTTTCTTTTATTTTTTTTGAATACTCAGTCAAAATATATGACAATCAAGGAATTTTGAATATGCATTTAACGTCATAGTATAATGCAGCATTTCTTTTTGTCTTTACTTATTACCAGTACAGTATATAGCCAATTCTGTATAGACTATCTCTTCTTATAGCTGAGTAATATTCCTTTGCGTATACGTACCATAGTTGCTTTCTTTTTTTTTTCTTTTTGGGTCACACCCAGCAATGCTCAGGGGTTACTCCTGGCTCTGCACTCAGGAATTACTCCTGGCGGTGCTCAGGGAACCATATGGGGTGCTGGGAATCAAACCCGGGTCAGCCACCTGCAAGGCAAACGCCCTACCCGCTGTGCTATCACTCCAGCCTCTGTACCATAGTTTCTTTATCCAGCCATCTATCTATTCTTGGACACTTAGGTTGTTTGCAGATTTTGGCTATTGTGGATAGTGCTGCAAGGAACATAGGAGTACCAGTTTCTTTTCTCCATCTTGATTTTGGGCCTTTGGGGTACATTCCAACACGTGGGATTGCTGAGTTAAATGGAAGCTCAATTCCTAGATGTTTTAGAAATGTCCATATTGTTTTCCAGAAAGGCTGGACCAGTCAATATTCCCCCAGCAGAGAATGAGAGTCTCTTTCTCCTCACATCATTGCCTGTACTGTTTGTTCTTGTTCTTTTTGATGTGTGCTAGTCTCTCTCTGTGGTGTGAGATGACATCTCATTGTTGTTTTGATTTGCATCTTGGTAGGTCCCATTTCTCATTACTAAGAAACTCTTCTAAGAACCACCTCCTGAAATAATTTTCCTCCATACACAATAACTGAATGATAACTCCGCTTTTTCGGAGAGCCCGGCAAGCTACCGAGAGTATTCGATATGCCAGACACAGTAACAACAAAGTCTCCAATGGAGACGTTACTGGGCCCGCTCGAGCAAATCAATGATCAACGGGAGGGACTTTACTTTTACTCGAGCAACTCCCCGTTTATTCAAGATACAGATAGAGGGATCAGAGAGATAGTACAGTGTGTAGGGCTGTACTACATGTTGGTTGACCCAAGTTTGATCACTGAAATCCCATGTGGTCCCATTTACAGTCGTGCACTGAGCACTGTGTTTATCGTCCCATGGGATCCTTGGCA